TTGTATTTGGGACCTTCCAGGTTCAATATCCAGCTTGGAGACCAGCTATCCTGACTGAGGTTTTTGTGGTTTTCCTCAGTCCCTCTAGGCAAATACCAGGATAGTACCTTAAATTAGCCATCACCACTTCCTTCCACATCTTTCCAATTCATTATTTGCTCTCATCCTCTCATTTGACACTATATAGTCTGAGCGAGTAAGCGTGTGCATGTTTTTTTACCACAAATACCAGGATAGTACCTTAAATTAGCCATCACCACTTCCTTCCACATCTTTCCAATTCATTATTTGCTCTCATCCTCTCATTTGACACTATATAGTCTGAGCGAGTAAGCGTGTGCATGTTTTTTTACCACTGTTTATATATATATATATATATATATCTATTATTGTAGGTAACTGTATTTCAAATTATTGGGTGATAAATTTTCATTAAGTGAAACTTGCTGTTATATAAAGTGAGATGTTGGTGTGTATGTTGTAGGGACCGTGTTATGAATGATGGTTTGTTATTCATTTTGAAACTAATTATTTTATGACTTATTTTTCAGACATATTTATGGGTGCTAAATGATGATGATGAGTTCAGAAAAGCTTTTGAGCTGGGAGCAACAGGAGTAATGACAGACTATCCTTCCAGACTTAAAAGATTTCTTATGGAGAATCCACAGTATCAATGATGACATTAGAAAATGGTAATAGTGGAGTTTAATTCTGCTGTTACTGGTTTAATCAGCTTTTACTGATGATATATGATATGTAACATGTTCTTTCCAAACTAGAAAATTGATGTCAGTCATTTTACTTGCCAAAACAGTTGCTGGAAGGAATATATATTGTATAGGAATATATTATAAGGAAAGTATATTTTGCAGTCATATTGCCATGATTTGTTTTCATGGTTAAAGGTTTTATATATTAGGATATTTTGTAAGATGAATTGTTTCTTGTGGTAAGCATCTCTGATCTCAACCAGCACATATGTGATGTGTTTTGCATTTTGAAAATTATATACACATTCCAGCAGCTAAGGACAAATTACTCATTGATGTGAAAATGTATGTGATTTCCTGGAAAATTTGTATGTACCATTGCTTATTATCCTGTTTGATGTTATCAGTGGGATCAGTCTTGTTTGTATAATGTTCTGAATTTCTTTTACCATTTTTGCTTGCTAAAATTTTCTGTTGTGAATACTGCCTTATCATTAATATGCATATGATGGTCCATATTAGGGCCTTATCATAAAATGGATCCTTTGTGAGGATAATGCAGCAGTAGCCTGTCAGTGTGGACATACATAACTAGAGATGAAAGTAGTCACAGACAATAAAGTGTTCTTTAATTTCCATTGTTCATTTGCAAGGTCCTGAACTTTATTTAAAATGGGAAGCATTGGGAGTTGATTCTGTTCAGAATTTCTGGGATTACATGAAGAAAAAGTGTATTCTCCGACCAGTTTACGTAGAAGAAACTGTTACTGAGTTTATTGAGAAGCTATGTTAGTGGTTGTCTGAGCAGGAGCAATATTTTTTCTTTTCTCTCTTTTTCATTTTATTTTATTTTACTCTACTTATTTATTTATTTGTTCTTTATGGTGTATTTCAACAACTGTAAAATCAAATTATTTGACGTATTATGTTTTCTACTAATTCTAGTTAGAAAAAAATTGTTTATCCAGGTTTTCAGTAAGGTTTTGACTGATTCCTGGTTTTAGTGGTCGTAGCTGGTCTGCGGCAAGCCGTGGTTGCGTCGTCTGTACCTGTGAACTCCAACGAAGCATGGGTGTTTGGCTCGCCGCAGACCAGCTACGGCCACCGGACCCTCGGATCAATAGCTAAGTGCAGAGTTCAACTCCTGTGAATACCAACATCTAATGTGGTGTTGCTTGATATGCTTTTGTAAAATACTCTACTTCATTATTTGTTTTCTAAACAATTTTTAAACCATTTTGAATTAATGAATTAATTTCCCTGTTGCCATTGATGATGACCTCTTGAGGTTGAAACGTGTATGGCACTAGTGTCTTTTTTATAGTGTTAATAGTTTGTTTGCTTATTTGCTTATTTTATATTCTCATACACTACACGGTATGCAACGTTTTAAGATTTAGCCTAATTTAAGGTACTAATCTCAGAATTTGTTTCGGGGAACTGAGGAAAACTTCAAAAGCTATAGTCAGGATAGCCTGTTTCAGTATGAGATTCAAACCCAGGATCTCACAAATAGGCATGCTAACCATTCGCTTGTGATGGTTTATCTTTGATAAGGGCAAAATCAAATTCTCTGACTGGTTGGTTAGAAGGTACAGCTAAGGCTAAGGTTGGAAAGAGGTGAGTATGAGAAGGGGATTAGATATACTGATATAGAAACATTTCCAAGTTCATGGGAACATCATAGTTTACTCGTGAATATTGGTATCTGTCTTTCCTTGGGATTTTTCTTGCATATGAATAGCTCTGTGCTGTTTTTTTCACTGTGCACAAAAAGAAAATAGTTCTCACTGATGGCAGAGATGGGATAATCAGCAGATATGTTAGATGGCAATGTATCTTGATGGATATGATTAAGATTGTATATGGTTTCTAATCAAAAATGGAAAAGGAGGTAAAATACATTCAAACAGTTCTTCTATAACTGGAGTTTTCACAGAGTACAGTAGAAGTCCATTATAACAAGAGTTCACAACATTCAGAAAAAATGTCTTTATAACAAATACATACTCATTATAAGCAATTAAACATCTGGAAAGGTAAAAATGTCCCTTTGAATGAAACAGCAAATAATGAAGTTTTTTTCACATTACCATTTACCCATAATTTTAATTAAATTTGTATATATTCTGTAGTAGTGACTAAACACATTTATCTTTCTGATAATTTACGCTTGATTTACAAAGAAATATGTTTATGAGAGTTTAATAACTGCAGAAATTTGTATTTCAAACATGTTACTATGAACCTTGAAATAGACATTGTCTGTGTAGTGTGACAATAATATTCTGTCTTTCTTCAAGGTCACAACATAGGTATCAAGATATATGGATTGCAGTTATAAATGATGACATGTTATATGTTGCTGGATAGCATGGTTATGTATCGTGTTTGTGTAGAGATATTAAATGCTAAATCACAACTTGTCACATAATGCATAATGCCTATCACAGTTGTACATCATGTGAAGAAAAGAATTCTAGTTGCCTTTGATGCTTCTTTTCAGTTACTTTTAGAGATGTTGTATTGAACATTACTTTGGTAATGTAGGTTGATCATTTGAAAATAGTAGAATCAAATGAATGATTGACAGTTAACATTATTTATTGAATGTTGTGAGTGTGATTGAGTGGTGGTTCCATAATGAAAAAAAATCATGTTACATTTTATTGTCAATCAACAATCCAGGTCGATTCATGCCAAAGATCAAAAGACAACTAGCCATGTTACCCTGTTCACTTTTGCATGTCTGAGCACTGCTAAAGTGTATAAACATTCTGATTCAGTGTAGAAATATTGCTGCTTTGTCCCCAATAGTCCTACATGGTTGGTCACTACACAACATTGTAGTGGATTCACTTCCCTTTGCATTGTTCAGTCCTATCAGAAACTGAATGAAACACAGATGCTGTTAGACAGTCAAGTAAAATAGTAGCCAGAAACTATAAAATAATTGAATACTTTCTGCTCAGTAGTGACAACCACTGACAAAACTGTGGGGGACACCTGACTCTGAATAGCAGATGTAATTTTCCTCTCATTTTTGAAAAAATAATGAAACAGTGACTTTGTCACATTGCCAAACATATATTTACACAATTATGGAAACCAAAAGTGCTCATTATATAAAAAATAATGAATAGTGCTTTTGTTACAACTGAAAGATATTCTTACATTTATCATTGTTTATTACATTGACTGCATGCAAAAATCACTCATAAAAGTGGATTTTTTATTTTCATTGTACTTATTTCATTGGGCTTTTACTGTATTACATTAAGCAGGATACATTAGCTATGGTTCCAACTAATAAAGTAAATTATAAACATCTGCTTGCTATTTAATGAACAGTAATAGTGGACTGAAATATTATTGTTCTGCATTTGTATTCCAAAGATAAGAACATGTGATTAAATATGTATTTAGAAATTCTAGTGGTGGCAGGAAATATAAGGTAGATGTAGAAATTAATTTCTTTTTAGTTCATAAATCATTAATATTTTGTACATATGTTGAGCATTAACATATTTGTTGTCTAATTCTTGTTTTCATGTGCACTGATAATTATGCACTATTATGTTGAATGCATTATTAATTAGAATTTGTTTGTTGCATGAAAATTTATTTCACAGAAACAAATTTCTTGTTGACATAAAGGTATTAAGAGATGCTGCAGCCAACTGGTCAACCTTTTGATCAGGAAATACATATATAGATAACATTAAATGAAGAAAATGTGTAATAGATATATGTATCTATTTATTATTATAAATGAATAGTACTAATTAGAATAAAAATTAATCAGAACTAAAGCAGCAGAATTTGACATCAGAAGGCTATGATTCACTCTCTGATGTAATCTGATGGGTCAGGTACTGATTTTCATTTTGGTGTATTTTCATTCTAACAAAATTTCATTATTCATATCAAAAAAGGAGTTAATTTCTAAAATGTGGTAATCAGATATTTGTGAAATGAATGCTTAATGTATTTTATGCTCATGTGCATAAATCACCTTACATTATATTTAAAATATTTGTGCACATGCAATATTAGGGGCATTTTATGGTACAAGACTTGATCACAGGTAACTAAAATATGTTATTTAACACTATACCTGACGAGTTGTTTTTCTAACCATCACTAGAATTGCTGTTACATATTTTATGAAGACTAAGTTAATTATGTTGCAGGTATTTTGTAACAATGAATCCAAAGTTTGGTTAAAGTATGTGATACGAAGTGTGTAATATGCTGCTGTATGTCATTAATGTGAAAGTCATCCATATGTGTATAACTCGCTTATTTGCATGTGTTTAACAAAACATTTTAATTTTGTCATGAGATACTTGTCCTTAGGTCTTCAAGGCTGGAGTCTTGTCTTTCACAGATAAGCCACGTCAAATGTTGAGAATTATCCAACATTTTAGCAAACATTGACGGAGGCAGTATGACCTCTGAAACGTTGGTTAACATCGACCAGACTACACAGCGCAACAACCCAGAAGACAGAAATCTTCATACTCACCGCTGTGAAAATCTCAAATCTTACATTGCAGTTGCCATCTTCAGGACAAATATATAATTGTTAAGCACTTTTGAAACTTTATATAGGGCAGTTAGTATGTGGTAAATTGGACTACATGATGTAGCTCTCCAATTGGATGGCAGGGTGCTCTTCCACTCCATCAGTTAGCACCATCAAATGCAACTCAACACACACTTCCTGCCCTGTATAAAGCTTTCAGAAATGCCCAGCTGTTGCATATTCACCTTGAAGATCAGAACTGCAGTTTTTGCCAAAATGTTGCATAATTTTCGGCAATCAACATAGCTTATCCCCAAAATTCAAAGTTGTATTTTGTCATGAGATGTTATGGATTAGGATCTCAGTATTTATTTCCCTTATTTAACCCTCTTACTGCCAAGCCAAGTGCTCCATGTTATGCTGAAATTGCCAGGCTGTTTAATAACTATAATGCATCCAGATGTAAGAATAGAGTACATTGTCTAATGAGCTTTTACATTCAGTGAAACTATCCATACATAATCAGATTTTCCATTTGTTTTCTCACTCTGGGCTGTAATGTAGTTAAATTTGTTATGTAACATGACAGTGGAAGCTGTTTATAGTTTACGTACAGAATTAAGTTATTTAGAGTTTTGGTTTTACTGTGTTATAATAATAATAATAATAATATTTGTTAGTATATGTTGGTGAAAATGGTAAATACTGGTTTTGTAAAGTGTTCAGGTGCTTAGAAGCAAAGAAGGACAAATTATTTCAAATGTATATGACCGTATTAACGGTAAAATAATCAAGAGAAACATGAGTTGAATTGTGATTGAAACTGCTGAAGCTGCAGGCTTTTTGAGAGCATTGATATGGAAGCGATAATATCTCACCATTTCATTTTAAAAGTTTTCCATGTACTTCTGTTTCTTCACAAAATACTAAATCCATCGCTACAGGCTGATGATAAGAATAGGAGTGTGTTTCAGAATGATTGTGTATTGGTCATTCACTGAATTAATAGTCTGTAATGTACCTGAAAAATCTGTGTTATCCCACTGTATGTTGAAAAATTGTTACCACATGAGCAGTAGTCTATGCTTATTGTTGGCCAGGCTGTAGATTGTTCATGTCATTGGTTTTAAAGTTCATTTATTGCAGGCACAAACATATTGTTGCAAAAATTATTGCACTGAAGGCAGCATGCTATAATGCCAGAAATTGTTTCCCTTGTATTTGATTAAATACTCAGTATATTTTAAAGTGCATCAAATATAATTCATAATCATAATGGGATCTGTATTTTCTGATATGCAACAATTGTTTGTATGTGAACCATTTTTGAGACAATTAATAAAAGTTTCATTTGAGCTTTATATAAATATCAGAACAATATGAATCAAAATTAAACACCTGATAACGTTTGGTGTAGACCTTAATTCCAAATTTAATTGAAATCCATTCAATAGTTTTTGAGATTACATAGGATGATATATGGACGGTCATGACCTCCCTATTGTATGTTCATTTTGTGCATGTTGTGTAAAGAACACATAAAAATCTTTCATGGTTGTGTCTTTACCATATGAATTGCATGTGCAGGAAACCAGCCTCTAAGAGTTAAGACAGTTTGGATCATGGCAGGGCTAGCATAACCTGGCTCTTTGATACAATGCAGTGGCATGCAAAGGGTTAAGGTTAAAAAGTGTAATATATTGTACCTTTGTTGGATTTATTGAAAAGCAGCCCAAAGGTGTTTGT